CCAAATTTCAGCTCAAAATTCGACCGGGAAGGCAGTCAAATAAATTCTTGAAGCTTACTGCACATTCTGCGCATATATAAAGTGCAGTAAGTTTCAAGAATTTATTTGACTGCCTTCCCGGTCGAATTTTGAGCTGAAATTTGGTATGGACAAACTAGACTTGATGAGAAACATGCTCAAAAAATTTCATCAAAAAATTACACCGGGAACTGCCCCAAATGGCGGAGTTCGGACGGCGTCTGGACGGGAGAGGGAGGGACCTGAGCATTTCTGTCTAATTTAATATTATACTTGAGAATTGTAAGCTCTACTAGTTGAGAATTTAGACCTATATTGTTATTGAGTATCAAGTCTCCTCTATTGAGCATTGCAAATATGCAATTAAACATAAAACTTTAAAAACTTATTGAGCATTAAAACATCTTTATTGAGTATCATTATTATCTACTTTTAAGTATTGAGACTATGTGATCAAGCATCTCTTCATTAAGGATTCGAACTATCTGCATTGAGTATCAAAACATATTCATCGAGTATCGTCTTCTCTATTGTTGAACATTAAGACTATGTGATTAAACATCTTTATTGAGCATTGGAACACTGCATTGAGCATAATTAAAATTAAACATCTTAATTTAGTATCATGTTCTCTACTAATGAGCATTGAGACCATGTGAGCAAGCTCCAATGTGGTCATCACAAGCTCCAATATGACCTGCAGTGGCGGCATGCATGAGTTTCATCGGCTAGGAGCAGCCAACGAGCCGCGAGTAGGAGCGTCTGGTGAGAGACATGCGTCTGGCCCTCTAGGTGAAAACAACAAGCCATCCATATGCGTGCGAGCGGCGAGCCGTCTTGGTGTGAGAAGCGAGTTGTCAGACTGTATATATCAACGGAGGAAGTCTGCTCTTCAAGATGATGTTGATGGTGAAGAATTATTTTACTTACTTAGGTGAATCTTTCTACATTAAAAATGAATAATATTACTGAAGAATTATTTTACTTACTTTTAAGCGAAAATCGCATTTTGGTCCCTCAATTAGTCACCATATTGAAATGTCAGACCTGTGTTTCAAAGATTGTAAATGTTACCCCCGAATTGGTTTTGACATTTCCTCTATCCAGTTGATGCAAAGTTTGACTCTCCACAATAAATTAGGGGTGAGCATAAAACCTGAACCGAACAGGTGCCGGACCGTCCCGTAATGCATGGTACCGAACCGAATACCGGGGTACTTAAACGGTTCTATATGTTTTTGTCTCGTACTGAAACCATACCGTTTGAAACGGGTATGAGACCTGTCCTAGATTTTGAGAACCGAAAAATACTAGACCGAACCGTTTGAAAATATGCACTTGAATTTTTTATATTTTTTCTATACCAATTCAATAGATCTCTTTTATAGACCAACAATTTTATAGCCCAAGTATGTATTTATGCGTTCTTAAAATAGCTAAATGTTTGTGTTTATATATATATATATATATATATATATATTATATTGTTGGGAGTGGTTCTAATGAGAACACTCCTTATTGTGAGATGTGAGAACAAATCCTAACCCACCATCTCATTAAATGAATGGCCATTAAGTATTTGGCTCACAATATAAAGATAGACATCCTCACATAGTAACCTCTCTCATAAAAATGGAATGTGGGACGTGTAACTAACAATGGGCACAAGAGTAATTTTAATATAAAAAAAAAGTAATTTTAATAATTCATTTAATGGAGCAACCGTTGTGGCTACAAAGCTTTCCAAAAAAGTAGATAAAATATCAAAACATATAAAATGTTTTAGTTTAAAATTGATTTAACTTTTTAAATTATAATCCAATTTTATTAAAAATTATATCAAATTAAATAGTTTTTTATCTTTCATATGACACCAATAATGTATATATATATATATTTTTAAAAAAATTAGTATTATATGTATACATTAAATCACAACAAGCATATCCTGCTATCATACACACAAGAACATGTATCAAATGCACAACAATCAATATCTACTACACATGAAAAGAAGTATCTCACAAATAGTTTTTATATAAAGCACCGGAGTGAGTATCTCAACCACAAAAATCAATAGCTAACACACAACAGTTAAGAACTAATATTGAACACATAAGGATTTCATATAATACACATCAACTAGTATCTACATCACAATACGTACATACATCATAGAACTCGTATCTAGCACATAGTATATATGGACATAGAAAATCACAACAAATACATCATCATGCACAAGAACCGGTATCTAGCACACAACTTCCAATATTGTATTTGAGTCACACAATAGTGCAAAAATGAATTGTACGGATGCATATGAGTGAGCAAAATATGCAAATGTTAAGACGTAAAATATGACCGATTACTAGCACATGAAACGACCATCTTACTATTAGGCAGGATATAACACACCACAACTGCTATTTGATGCAAAATAAATGAATATAAAATAAATTATAATTTTAAATGGAAACTAACGTGTTGAAGGGCAAATTGAATAAAAGTGAATGATGTTTTATTTGTATAATTAGATAACTCAATTGATGTGACAATGTAAAATAAAATATTTAATATGATATGGAACTTACTCTTTCCATTAGTAAAGAATAACTTTACGTGATCATTAGTAACCGTAGGAAGGTAATAAATATATTGTCGGTTACCGAAACTGTCAAATATGTATTAGACAGAAATAGCCTTTACCACCATCAAGCTGATCGCATCTCGATTTAGATTTTGAATGGATGAGATTTGTTCTCATTTCTCACGTTAAAGTGTGTTCTCATTTGAACCAAAATCTTATATTGTTATTTTTTCTTTTTAGATAATTTATGTTATATTTTGGTATGTATTGAAAGAATATTAAAATTTTAGAGAAATCATTAATGACTTCATTTCTAGTAATGTTAGTAGTGGACATGACTTTTTGTTGTATCATGTTTGTGCAATTTTACAACTTAATTAATATGGTGTAAATCTTAGCTCTCAAGGTTCAACTATAAATTAAATTAGAACTGCGGAGTAATATTTAACCTAGAATGATGATGATGAAGAAGAAGAAGAAGAAGAAGAAGAAGAAGAAGAAGAAGAAGAAGGAGGAGGAGGAGGAGGAGGAGGAGGAGGAGGAGGAGGAGGAGGAGGAGGAGGAGGAGGAGGAGGAGGAGGAGGAGGAGGAGGAGGAGGAGGAGGAGGAGGAGGAGGAGGAGGAGGAGGAGGAGGAGGAGGAGGGGGGGGGGGGGGGGGAGGAGGGGGAGGGGGAGGAGGAGGAGGAAGGGGAGGAGGAGGAGGAGGTTTTAATTGCAGAAGGGAAAAAGTGTAATATGGAGTCCCATTTAGAACTTCAAGTCCTATTTTGGAGTTTTAACCATGTTTTAGTCCCATTAGGATAATCTTCTAATATATAAAAACAAAAGCTTTTTGGTACTGTTTTTTCAACAGTATTCCCGCACATAAGAGTCTGATCGAATAAATTACGTAAATAACCCCGTGAAGGTTATATTGTCAAGGGTAAAATTGCATAATATAAATTTATCATTACATGTGAACAGTGGGCAGTAAAAAACAGATATTACAACTGACATTTGCTTAAGATGTCTCTTCACTGGGTACTATTTCTTGATGGAATAGGCATCTCCATCCGGTTTTGGTGGCTGGGGCAACTTCTTTTTCTGAAATTACACCAAACTAATCATTAGAATTGATAACCTACTGAAATATTATTAAGTGCTTGACAGCTCATTGTGGCCATTTTAATGAAAATAAATACACATAAACAAATTTTTGTATAGTGAATAGGCAATGCATGTCAGCCCCCTATAAATACCCATTCTATCCACCACCATTGCTATCCTTACCTTGAGTTCCCTTCTAAATACTGAGTACTATTTTTTATCAAAATGGTTGGCATGTGGTCTTTAATAAACCAGTTTGACCAAGAAAAAACCTCTTGGACTGTCAAAGTAAGGGCTGTTCGGGTATATCATACCCCAGCCTATGGGATTCATCATGGTGAATCCTTGAACAACATTTTCTATGACTCCGAGGTTAATTTTTTTCTTTTCAGTTTGATCTGTTAAAGATGTAGTGTTTGTATGATCTAAAATTCGCGTGTCTACACAGGGAACAAAAATTCATGCACACATTACGAAAACTCAAGTTCCAAAGTTTGAGTCATTGTTCAAGGAAGGAAAAGTTTATGCAATTAGACATTTCTTGGTCCAAGATAACTATATGAATTTCAAAACAACAAGGAATGCTTATAAGTTGTTGTTCCTCAATAAAACTGAAGCATTCCAGATTTCAAAAATCAATTTCCCATTGAGGATGTTTGACTTTACATCTATTGCTGCCTTGCAAGCTGCCGAAGAGGTTGAAGACACCCATGCAATAGGTGGTATTTTCATAAAAATGCAGTGTTTTTTAAATGTCGATATGAAGTAAAAAATTATTAATGAATGTTGTGATCACTTTTAGATGTCATCGGCAAGGTAACTTCAATGTCACACCCCAAGGAACGGACTAAGAACGTCATGCAAACTCAGTTGGTGGATCCCACCCTTAGGTGATGCTTGGTGATGCTCAGTAAGTATTTTTAACTTAAATTTCATACTGCTGTTATATTAAATAATTACTCTAACCTATCTATGTTATATGTTGTGGGAATACTATTTCTTGCACTCTATGATAATCATGTTACATAATACTATAACTTAAATATACTCGGGGTATTACTTATAATGTTCATCATTAACTTATGTCCAATTATATTTATGTCTAACTATGTTTATACCTCATCCACGAATTCACGCACCGTGCATCGCAAGGGTGCAATACTTGTTTCTTATTTGGTTGAAATTAACTTTTTTTACATTGATATGATAAAAAGTTATGAACCATAACGAGGTAAGACAATAAAGAATGTATATATTTTCTACTATATATTGAATTACCAATATCTAGATGGTGATTAGGGACATCTGTTGTCGACGGTAGTGATAAAGCTACACTGATTAATTATTAATGGTGATGTTTATCCTTTACATGCCACATGAGGATCCAGAAAATCCATATCAACAAAAATTGCCAAATATGCACGACATGGGCGTAATTCCACAGACTCAAGTTTGTCTCAAAACAAACCACATACCCCTAAGTCTAAGCACACCCAATCGTAGGGTACTTTATGAATTCTTCGAAATAAATTATCAAATTAAAGAGACCGTTTAGTTCTTTCTTGCACAAAATAGAGTTGAAGAAACAAACTTTATATGATCCAACAAGCATCGAAAGCTTGCCCTTAACAAGATAACAATGAGACGTCGACGCTGTTGATAGTCATGAACTCGCCATTATACTTTGGTACCAACGTAACGGCAACATTTTTATCACTTTCAAGCCCCAAGTCTTCAAGTAGTTCAGTTATTGCCAGGCTGAAAGTCGTCGTCTTTGATTGATTTTCATTCGAACTCTCATGAATGTGAGCCAAGTTGGCAAAACTTCCCAGGTATTCAGCCCGATCCAACACGGACGCCTTTAAGAGATTGTCTTCGTTCAGAAACACGTCGAACCTAATGTACTTGGTTTCATCATATGTTAAGCTCATATTCAATAACTCCTCCATATCTGCTTTCTCTTGCTCTGATCTTGATGTCTTGGGCCTCATGACATAAAATGTTACGGTTTGTTGTAAGGTTTTTGGCAAGATATTAGTGCCCAAGGGAATAGATGTTTTGGTGCTGCTCGACTGTGTGTTCTTTTTCGATGTTGGCCTGTATCTCATCCATGGGGTGGGCATATCCTTGTAGAAGTTAAAAATTTGAGTTCATCACAATATATTGTAATGCGCCTCATTTTAAATAATACATGTATAATGTAACATGTCAAGAAAAGTAACCATGAATAAAAAAAAAACTACAACTGTACACATCGATCATACACACATTTATGAACAAGTTATTTTTTTGTCAGACAAAACATGTTTTCCAAAAATAACCGTACCTACAAATGATTGACAAAAAGTTGTACGTGCTTGTGATAAAACATCCAATGTTTTCGTTTTCTAAATATATACCATTTGATATATAATGCAATATAATCTAATATTCTAATCACCGCCGAAAAAAATTACTTAAGAAGTTGACAAATCCTTTCAACAAATTATAAAGTTTTACACATATCATTTAATTAAACATCGGATAACACACTAGTTTTATAGCTTTTGAATTCTTGTTCACTTTAAATCCTAATAGCCATAATTATGTAAGAGCATCTCCAATGTTAAAACGTTAACGGTGCATACGTGGCATGAGAAATAACCAATTAAAAAACAATAATGTCAATAAGTAGAATATTTCTCTCCTTATTTGAAGGGTCTTACCAATGTTCTAAAAGGCGCTAGGCGCTAGTCGGGCGCCACCCCAGCGCCTAGCGGCTAGGCGGGCGCCTAGTCGGGGACTAGTCAGAGACATAGAAATTGCATTTTTATCTATATTTTTGCATAAATATGATAAGTATTATTGTATTTTCTGTGTATAAAATACATATATACATATACATAAACAAACATGAAAGATAGAATTATCACATTTAATCATATGTAGTATATGGTAAGTAATCACTTAACTTCATTGTGTTATAAATATAAATAATGATAAAATTTAGGAATATATACAAACGTGTATAGTTTTATCTTAATTTACAACTTCATTTCTTTATATCCATGGCTAAAGTTAAAATACGTATATCACTTGGAAATTAAAATTAAAAAGTAAAGTAATGTTCAACAAATCTAGACGGTCTAGGCGGCCGATTAGGCGCTCTAGGCGGGCAACTAGACGCTATAGGCGGGCGACTAATTCACCTAGGCGGCAAACCAATTAGTCGGAGCGCCTAGCCGAAAATCGGGGCGCCCGGCCACCGCCTAGCGCCTAGGCGGGGACTAATCGGGCGCCTAGAACGATTTTTAGAACAGAGGGTCTTACATCATTTTGGTAAGTTTTTCTTCACAATGTGAAGCACAATGTCAAGATGTAGACATTGTAGTTGACATTGCAGGCAAAAACTTACCAAAAACACATAAGCCCGTGGAGAGAAGGAGAGAGAAATGTTATAAAATCAATCTTTTGTGTCTATCTCTCTCATGCCACATGTGCATCATGCACATTGTAGCATTGGAGATGCTCTTATAACACATCACTTATATTTAAATCACACATATTCTTATAAATAAACACTTTCATGTGCCCATTATCAGTCATGTAAGTTTACATTGTTGCAGATTTGGTCTTGTAACTAATAAATTTTTGCAACTTAAGAACTTTTCCATAGTAAATTCAACGTCACTTACATCTTTTCCGTCATATTTTAGGGTCGGAAAGTGCACTTTCTGTTAGAAAAGTTCTTAAATCACAAAGATTTGTTGGTTACAGGACCAAATCTGCAACCGAGTAAAGTTACAGGACTAATAACGGATATAGTCAAAAGTTATGAGTCTAAAATTGCAATTTTTCGGGAGTAATATGTACATAAATACCTATATGTTAAATCAAACGAGCTTAAAATATTGGCTAATTAAGTCTGAGTTATTTAGATAAACAATTTCTAGAAAAGTTCAAGTCCAAGTTATTTACTAAAGAGGTCAGACCAAGAGGCCAAACCAAGACAAAGGTGAACAATGTATTGAACAGTGTAAAATAAAAAATAAAACACAAAAGTGAAATCCCTAAAAGATACTCTATCCATCCTAAAATAATTTATAAATTTAACTTTTCTTGGTGGGCACAATTTCACTTTAGATACATATTTAGCATATCAATTTTTTATTATTTGAATGATGTGACTTTATAGAACTTTTTATATAGTTTTTGAACATGCATAATTTTTATAATTAGAATTCATTTAACTATCTAGAAGGATAACTATACTTTATCGTCGGTCAAATTTAAAACCAACAAATTGCAATTCAATTCGGGACAGAGACAATAGATTTATTATGTTAAGCACCTGGAAAGTGTAGCCAAGTTTCTTGTGGTCGAGGCAATCTTGAACCTTGACCCTGACAAGGTTTTTATTTTCATCATAGAATAGGAATTCAGACTGCAACCAATCCGGGTCCGTTATATCCTCCCGCTTGCCTCCCAAACTCTTCCAAACGGACCACATCCGGTCCACATTCCCATGAAGAGAATAGAAAACCGGGTCTTTGGCTGCAGAATAGAAGTTACCCATATCCTCGTTGTGAGCCGTCGTGGGGTCACCGACCCACCGGTGCAAAGTGTTGTGGGGAACATTCTCTATGGTCCCGCCGCCGGACTCGGTGTCGTAACCCTCCCCTCGGAGAGCATTTCCGAAGAAGAGCGCCGGGCACGGCGCGTTGGTCACCATTTGCCGGTACATGATCGCGAGGTTGTTCCGCAAGATTTGGAGTTCAGTGGTGTCAAGTTCTTCTCCGGCAGAGAAAGCTAGGTCAACGATGACATCCTTGTGGTGCTTTTGGTCACGAACCTCGTCGTACAATGGTGAGGTCTGATCGTCGAAGATATCTGGGAGGAACATGCCTTGTGGGTTGTCCCAGTTCCAGTATGGCAAGGTGAATGTAGGATCCCCTATCAAGGATTGTAAAATTCTCTCATGGAAGTATAGGTACCTACAGATATCAAGTCTGAGTAAGTTTAGAAATGACAAATTTCATCGGTTTATTATGATTATTTATTATTATTATTATTGAAACTTATAGTCTTATACTATGGAGCTTAGCTTCCTACAAATTGTTCTTTTAGTAGAACTATAAAAGCTGGAGGGAATAAATGTTTATGCTTCGAAAATGAGTTGTATTAATTCTCACTATTGGGTATATATAAGTACTACTATACTCCAGTTTTTTAAGTTCATGTGGTGTGAATTTATTAATACGTAGTAGTTACTCCATCCGTCCCTGAAAATTGTTCCCTGTTTCCTTTTTGAGCCGTCCCAAAAAATTGTTCCCCTTTCCCCTTTTGGAAAGTTTTTTGTGACTACAATTCATTTACCTTTTTCTTACTCAACCACAACCATACATTTCCACTTTATTCCTACTTTCTTAAACTCCGGTCCAAGTCAATGCGGGGAACAATTTTCCGGGACGGAGGGAGTATTATTTTCTTTCTAATTTACCTGTCTCACTTACTATCCTATACTGATCAATCGGATTGCTTTCCAATTGGTAAAGACATGTACTAATTTGTGTCATAATAAAATTTATTTTGTAATGGGAGATTTACATTAATAGCATCAAAACATGGCTTTTTTCTCAAAATAGGAGTACCTAGTTTAAACATCCTTAAATAAGACTTTTTATTATATTAGTGAATTGACCAAAATACCCCTCACAACCTTTACCACTGCTGCCCAGGGACTGCCGGACCGACGCCTGCCGCCGGCCGGCCACCGTCGGAAAAATTCCAGATTTTTTTCTGGAGGATTGCCAACATTCTGCCGCCGGCCACCATGGACTGCCCCGCCACCGACGGACTGCCTTGATTGTGCAAGGTTAGTCCTATTTAGAGAAAAACATGCATGTTGTCCTATTTTGAGAAAAAGGTTGAGTTTTAGTCCTGGACAATTTTCTCTTTTGTAATTAAGTAGAACTTTAATGTTGTGTCCCAAGTACTTGCCTAGATTATTTGTGTCATGTACGAGCTTATATATGCATTTACGCACAATTACTTCTGATTGTAGTTGCCTAGATTCAAACTATAAATTTAATCATTGTGTCATCTTCTTCAATTCTTACCACCTGCCGTTGCTCATAGCCTCATACCCCCCCCCCCCCCCCGATTCCCCTGCACCCTCCCTTGCACGTACATACCGCAAACCTTCCAGGCCACACTCTAGCCTTCATGATCGCCACCGACTCGGAGCCGCCGCCAATAGATAAATCTAGTGACAACGGTTGTTGATGAAATAATAGCGAAAATTGAAGAGAACGAATTGTTGGTGAGACGCTTCAAATCTTTAACATTGATAATTTGTGAGAAGGAAAAGAGAAGAAGCAAGCAAGCTTGAAGACGCCGGCGAACAGCTCAGGCGTGGAGGTAGGTGATGTGTGTTGGTGTTGGTTGTTGATCGGTGAGCGATTGGCCGGCAAAGCAGGGGTAAAGACATTTCATTAAGAGGGTTGAGTCATTTTTATGGAAAATATCTAAAGAGCAATATTTTTGGAACCCAAAAGAATATACTCCCTCCGTCCGTCTCCTAAGTTTGTTCCGTTTTACTTTTTTCGTCTGTCCCACTAAGTTTGTCTCATACCATATTTAGTAACATTTGAGTGGTTAGAACTTAGAATTCATTCTTACTTTATTCACACTTTATCAATTCAATATCAACCACACAATTCCACTTTTTATTAAAAACCATACCACACCCCTTTGTCCCAAATTTAGGGGGACGGAGGTAGTACTAATATATGGGTCATTATGTCATTAATGAACTCTTATTTTGGATATTTAAATATATAACTTGTGTTTTGGGGTGGAAAATCTTAGAGCCTGTTTATTAATGTTTATTAAGAGAGTTATTTTTCAATTTTCAGAAATATGGAAAACTGGTAAATAGAAAATATGAAAACATTTATCTTACCGAAAAAATTTGCTGGAAAACTTGAGAAAGGAAAACAGGATAATGAGTTTACAAAATGATTTTCCAAAACCACAAAAATGAGATACATCTCTGATTTGCTTTATGAATTGGAGAAGTGAGTTATATTAGTTTTCAAAATTTGAAATGTGTGGACATTGCAGCGCATCAACAATGAATATGCCTACTTATGCCTAGTGGTGGACTCATCCCTGCTCCAGTTCGGTCCCACGTGCTCCGGTCTCGGTTCCGGTCCGATCCAATCAACGACCAGGCGGTCCTAGTCCGGTTCAATCGATTATCTGGTGGTCCCTGTCCCGGTCCGATCCCTGTTTTTTATATCATTTTTCAAAGTAAATAGTTTCAAAAGAGCCGTTGGATTGTCAATTAATAGGCAAACATGAAAAGAATTAGTCAAACTAGTCGTTGGGAGCGAAAGGGATCGGTCGGTTTCGAACCTAACTTTTCTATACTGGGACCGGATACTCTATTTGGGTTGTACTAGGTTCGGTTCTGGACGGGACCATACTTTCGATCTTCTAGCCAGTCTCAGAATCGAGTAAAAAAAATTGTTGAACTTGTTTTCATATGTAAAAATGGAAATATGAAAAATAAAAACAAAAATTAAGAACGAAAAAACCGAAAAATCAAAATAGAAAATTGGAAAAAGAAAAACTTAAAAGAGAATTGGAAAATATTTATGTGAGTAAATTGGAAAAAACAGCCTTTGTTTCTTGTTCTTAACTTAGTTTCTTGTATTTAACTTAGGAGTACATCTGATAAAAAAAAAAAAAAAAAAAAAAAAAAAAAAAAAAAAAAAAAACTTACCCGTACATAGAACCTTTAAAAGAGACCTAAGTACAACTCTATTACGTAGTACTCCGTAGTTAATTAGGTATTCTAAAACGGTACAAACCTGAACTCATGCAACTCAAGTTTGGATAAAGTGAACTTAAATAAATCTAGTGCAATAAATTAAACCTAAATTTTAATAAAACTAGGCTAATCTAATTGAACCTAGGTTCATGCATAAAATATTGTTTTTTTTACTCCAGGGGGTGGGGGACCCACATTGGTACATTTTTTTGTTAAACAACTACTAAATATGTAGTTGTTTTTTTGCTCCAAGGGCGTCTGGGGGCGGGGGGCCACACTACAAGAAATCACACATTTTATGACGAAAATTTGTGTGACGCACAAAAAATTGTCACATTTGGTATAGAAATAGTTACAAAATTAATTTCTGTCATTTTAAAGGACTTATTATGACGATATCATTGTTAGTAACTTTAAGTCTCTTTTTTCGTCATCAATTAACATAAATCATGACGATGAAAATTATTTTGTCACCAAAATTTTTGGAGCCAAAATTTGACTCCAAAATTGTGGTAGGAAATATTTTGGATGACAAATTGGAACTAATTTATGACGACATCCAATGCCATCTTCATTTTTATGTATAATGACAAAATATATTTTGTCATATATTATTATATATAAATAGGGACAATGTATTTCGTCATCAATAGTACTTCTGGTGATGATTCTAGCAAACGTCATAAATTAACATAAATCATGACAAAAAATTACTAGTACAATTTTATCACAAATAAAAAAAATCATAAATCAACGACTTTAAGGTTTAATTTATCACCTAAACCGTGAGAGCCAAAATTTGTGGACATAACTTTTAAGCAATTTTTATTCACCAAAGTTAATACGAAGTTGTCACGCCCCGGACCTACCGGACACGTCAACAACCCGCCGTACAGTACGAATAGTCAACCGCAGTCCAACTCATCCATACTATACTAGGCGTCTTGAATACCATTCACACATAGTACATCCATAAACAACATAATGTAAAATAATCATTTAAAGCAGCGGAAATATTCAATACAAAGTGCACGCCACACTTTGGCAACATGGGCATACAAGCCCTAAATACATATTAAAGAAAAATAATATCCATGAGCATGGTTTAAATCGTTTTCAAAACAGAAACAGAAGAAGCACGAACCACGTCTTCTTCTCTTGAATTCTCCGGTACAACGGGCGGTAGCGGCAAGCTTTAATCCCGACCTGAAACTGTGAGGTGGCCTCCCCCGTGAAGGGGAGGTCAGTACTTGGAAGCATTTGACAAGTACAATGACAACTATACTAAGTATAATCAAAGTTTCAATTTCCAAGACCCTCAACTTAGGATGTTACTATTTGAAATTAATTTATGTTCTTTCATGCTAGAGCTCGGCTCATAGTCATGTTAATTTGTGCTAGAGCTCGGCTCATAGTCACACCACATTTCGCTAGAGCTCGGCTCATAGTCATTCCTACATTTTTGTGCTAGAGCTCGGCTCATAGTCACACTACATTTTGCTAGAGCTCGGCTCATAGTCATTCCTACATTTTTGCTAGAGCTCGGCTCATAGTCATACTACCACGTGCTAGAGCTCGGCTCGTAGTCACGTCATCTAATCCCTAAACCACTTCTTAGTCTAGGCTCCATTCCTTTTGAGTAACCCTTGAGGTCTACTCCTAACATAACTTGACTTCGTAAAGTCCACCCTAATTATCCTTTAAGGTTACTTAGCTTCAATATTTTGGGATTAGCTCCCAAGCACTATTGAACTAACATCCCCGACTAGTCTTCAATACTAGTCGTCTAATCTTAATAAGCCAACGCCAATTTCATAATAATTCATACATTTCAATTTAATTTCACCTTCAAGTATAACTTGATTCAATATCAAAATATCACTTTTATTCCCTTCATGAGGTAAAAGCATATTTATCACCATACAATTTTATAGCCTACACCACAATTGGGTCATTATAATCACAACACATAATCATACACAATTTATTCTTAAATTTGTATATTATGCATTTTCTTTATGAACAATACTATATTCCATTTTAGGCATTCTTAATCATAAATAACTCATGCCAAACACATATAATTCATTTAGGCAATCTTATGAAATTAACCCAATAATTATAAACAATATAGTCGGTCATCCTCACCTTAAGTGAGCTTAAGCGCGTTCTACACTTCCCGGTTGAACTTTGGCGAACTTTGACCAACTCCGGCCAACTTTGACCAACTCCGGCGAAACTCCGGCGAAGCTCAAAGATACTCTAAATCAAGTTCCTAACAAGGTTTTAACATCATAAAACCTTAATCAATACACATAACCTCTAAAAGGTTATTTTCCGGTGAACTTGTCGGTTTGGCTTCTAAATCCATTTTTGGACATAGAACCACCTTCCAACCCCTTGTTCCACATTTATCAACATGTAGAACAATCCTAGGGTTCTTCATAATTTCTCAAATAATAATGTATTCAAGAAAAAGAGAAGAGAAAGGTAAGTGAAGCCATTACCTAGCCTTTCCTCAAGTTTTGTACACTTTTGGAGCTTATACTTTTTCCTAGAGCTTCCTTCTTGGTGGAGCTTCCTTCAACAATGGTGAGATGTTTGAGAGCTTCCTTGCTCTTGGTGGAGGGATGCTGGCCGAAAATGATTGAGGAGAAGGGGGGTGGGTGTTCTTTTGTCTCAAATGCATGAGTGGTGTGGAAAGGGCCCACCTTGTATTTGTTTGATTCTTTTCCCATCAACTCCCACTCTCTCCATACTCCTCCAGCCGACCAACCCCTTTAATTGAGTGTCCAAATTCGTGGGTTGGCCCCCACCCATGTGGGAGGTCAACCCTTTTTGTCCAGAAGTGTACAATTTGTCCCGAAAGTTGTATTTTTCGGACTGTTTTAACTGTATTTTATTTTATCGGGTCAAATAAAATATATTATGTGATTTCCATCATTATGACTCTTATGATGAATATTCATACCCCAACTTTAATTTATAAGTCCCCGAAATTCAATTTCGGGCTTTTATCGGTTAAATTACTAGTACCGGTATTTTGGCCTTTTTTGATCAACCGGTCAACTCTATATCATCTCTTTGGACCAATGAGTTATACACCACCATATAAATATTATATTGACCCAGATGAATAAAATGTACGGACTCGGGAATATCGGGCGGCCTCCGCTCCCGGTGTGGGCCCCACGTGCGAATTTACCATTCACGCAAAATAATTAATGAAAATTCACAACTTCGTATACTCGTTAACCACTCCATAAGTTCAATACATTATTCACTTAAAAGTAAGTACTTTTTGGGGACGGTGTTACAAGTTCACCCCCCCTTAATTGGGATTTCGTCCCCGAAATCCACGTGTCTAATCGAAAAGAAACGGGTATTGCTCCCTCATTGAGACCTCAGTCTCCCAGGTTTCCTCTTCGACTCGATCACTCCTCCAAAGAACCTTTACCATAGGAATCTCCTTGTTCCTCAGTTTCTTCACCTGTTGACCCACAATCTTTACCGGTTCCACCGCATATTGTAGGTCTTCACGTATCTCCACCGGTGGCTTCTCAAGAATATGAGATGGATCTCTCACGTATTTCTTGAGCATCGATATATGAAACACGTCGTGTATCTTCTCAAGTTCTGGCGTCAACTTGAGACGGTATGCCACGGCCCCTATCCTTTCAAGGATTTCAAATGGACCAATGTATCTGGGGTTAAGCTTTCCCCGCGATATAAATCGGATGATACCCTTCCAAGGGGAAATCCTTAGGAAGACCTTATCACCGACCTCGAACTCCAATGGCCTGCGTCGTTTGTCGGCATAACTCTTCTGCCGATCTTGGGCAGCCTTGAGTCTATCCTGAATGACCTTCACCTTAGCCTTGGTGATTTCCACAAGTTCAATCCCTTCGAGCTTGGCCTCGCCAACCTCGTCCCAACACAACGGTGTCCTGCATTTCCTCCCATACAATGCCTCATATGGAGGCATGCCAATACTCGCCTGATAACTATTGTTATAGGCGAACTCCACTAGAGCCAAATGTTTGTCCCAACTCCCCTGGAACTCCAAAGCACATGCCCTTAGCATATCTTCTAAAACCTGTATCACCCTCTCGGATTGCCCATCCGTCTGTGGATGAAAAGCTGTGCTAAACTTCAGTTTAGTACCCAAAGATGCTTGAAACTTGGGCCAAAATCGAGATGTGAATCGTGGATCCCTATCCGAGACAATGGATATCGGGACTCCATGTAGTCTCACAATCTCCTCCGTGTATAGCTTTGCCAATCTCTCAAGGGGATAAGTAATGTTGATAGGCAAAAAGTGTGCACTTTTGGTGAGCCTATCAACCACTACCCATACTGCATCATAGTTGTTCACTGTTCGTGGTAGCCCCACCACGAAGTCCATGGTCACATGCTCCCACTTCCATTCTGGAATGGTTAGTGGCTGCAAAAGCCCCGCCGGGTGCTGATGCTCTGCCTTAACTTGTTGGCAAGTAAGGCATCGACTCACGTACTCTGCGATATCCCTCTTCATACCCGACCACCAGTAACTTTCCTTCAAATCTCGGTACATTTTAGTACCTCCTGGATGCATAGCATATGCCGAAGAGTGAGCCTCCTCCAGGATAGACTTTTGGAGCTCTTCACTCTTTGGTATGCACACACGGTCTTTAAACAATAAAAGACCGTCATCACGTACCCGAAAGTTCTCCACGGGCCCTTCAAGGATCCTCTCGCGGATCTTCTGGCATTCCTCATCAGTGGCCTGACATCTACTGATCTCACTCAGCAATGTGGGCCTAACCTCGAATCTAGCAATGAGGACCCCACTCGTGGGCATCTCCACTTGTGCCCTCAAAGTTCGTAGACATGTGAGTAATGTCCCCGACGTACTTTTCCTGCTCAGTGCATCGGCCACTACATTTGCTTTTCCGGGATGATAGTCGATGATCAAGTCATAATCCTTGATCAACTCCATCCATCTCCTTTGTCTCATATTCAACTCCTTCTGAGTGAATACGTACTTCAAGCTCTTATGATCGGTAAAAATGTGACATGTCTCCCCATAGAGGTAATGCCTCCAAATCTTTAGTGCAAACACTACCGCCCCCAACTCTAGATCGTGGGTAGGGTAGTTCGCCTCATGTTTCTTCAATTGCCTAGAAGCATAGGCAATCACCCGACCGTTTTGCATCAGTACACATCCAAGCCCTTGGATGCTAGCATCACTGTAGATATCATACCCTATCCCCTGTATAGGTAGGGCTAGTACTGGTGCTTCGGTAAGTCGTTTCTTCAGTTCAAGGAACCCTTTCTCACACTTGTCGTCCCATATGAACTTGGCCCCTTTCTTTGTGAGCTTCGTTAATGGAGACGCCAATACGGAGAATTTTTCCACAAATTTACGATAGTATCCCGCTAAGCCAAGGAAACTACGTATCTCTTTCACATTCTTGGGTCTCTCCCAATCCATAATAGCTTTAATCTTGGCGTTGTCCACGGCAACGCCCGAACCGGATATGACATGACCGAGGAAACCAATCTCTTTGAGCCAAAATTCGCATTTTGAGAACTTGGCAAAGAGTTGCTTTTCCCTTAACCGATCAAGTACAAGCCTCAAATGGTGTTCGTGCTCCTCCTCGCTCTTGGAGTATATCAAGATGTCGTCAATGAATACTATCACGAATTGATCTAAGTATTCACTAAACACACGGTTCATCAAGTCCATGAATGCCGCCGGTGCGTTGGTTAAACCAAACGACATCACAAGGAATTCGTAATGACCATATCTAGTGCGAAATGCACTCTTAGGTATGTCACTCTCCTTGATCTTCAACTGATGATACCCCGACCTCAAGTCAATCTTCGAGAACACTATTGCCCCTCGAAGTTGGTCGAACAAGTCATCAATCCTCGGTAAGGGATACCTGTTCTTGATGGTGACCTTGTTCAACTGTCGGTAGTCAATACACATTCTTAGTGTACCATCTTTCTTCTTTACGAATAGTACGGGTGCTCCCCACGGTGAATGACTGGGTCTGATGAACCCGTTGTCCAATAGTTCTTGTAGTTGGACCTTCAACTCTTGAAGTTCGGCCGGTGCCATTCGATAAGGAGGAATCGAAATGGGTTTGGTTCCCGGCTCCACTTCGATTACAAATTCAATCTCTCTATCGGGTGGAAGCCCCGGTAGGTCCTTGGGAAAGACGTCC